TTTGCCCTTGAGAGAATGAATAACAGACTTTTTGGGGGTGATGACAGTAAGGATCAACAATGCAGAAAGAAAACAGCAAAGTCGGCTGGAAGGCCTGTCCATGCTTGCTCSTTAGAAATGATAAACACCCCACGACTCCTGACCTCTCAGAGGCTGGACTCTAAATCTTAGCCACAGCCACAGGGCATAGATTTTGTCAGCTCTCTTTCAGTCAAACCCAACAGGCRTGCATGCATACACTCAGAGTTGTAAAGTAACTAAGTACAAATACTTTGTTACTGTACTTAAGCAGAATTTGTGGGTATCTGTATTTGAGTAATTATTTTTCAGCATACTTTTTACATTTACTCATTGCATTTTTACACAATTATCTGTACTTCCTACTCACTATATTTTTTTAAAAAAATTAAGAAGTAGAAAGTTGTTACTCCTATTTTATTCCAAGTTGTTATTACTTAAAGAAAATACTATCTTCATAAATTGTGTCTCCTTCATAGAGTGAATTTGTGGTTGGATGAGAAGTATAAATATATACCATTCTGACACCCTATTAGCTTGTACAAAACCATCACAGCTGCACGCCCTTAGAAAAAATATTTTTGAGAAGTCACCTCCAAATAAATGTCATTTTGGAAAATCTAAATGCTCACTTTTACTCAGCACTTTTACTTTTAATACTTAAGTACAAAAAATATCAGATGCTTTAAGACTTTTACTCAAGTAATATTTTTATTGAAGACTTTAACTTTTACCAAAGTATTTTTATGATAAGATACTTGTACTTTTACTCAAGTATCACTTTGAGGTACTTTATACAACACTGCATACAMTTTAACAAACAAGTAAACACTTGACCGGATTTAAGCTTTTTTTAAAGTTTTGGATCTCACGTAGAAGATGGGAGCACAGCTGAACCAGAACAATCCATCTTTGAGAAGAATGTATTATGTTCTAGAAGCTACATGAGCTTTTAGCCGTAAGCTGCAATGATTTTAGACTAGCCTGATGTTGAGTAAAGAGTAAGATCAGTTAAAGCCTCACTTAATTTCCACAAACACATTTAAAAATACCACAACACACTAAGTTCATGTCGCCACTTTGAGGCAAATCAAAGCTAAACCCCGACATGAAAGTAATGATAAAAACCTCGGAAATCTTCCTCACTCTTCGCCTGCTCATATAATTACAATGAGGCCTGGGGGTAAGATTCCACTATTACAGTAGTGAAAGAGCCCCTTTACAGGATGAATTACGCTGCCAGGTCAACTGTCTGAGACGAATCAGATGATGGTGATTTTAAGGGAGAATTTTGTTAGTCAGAGATTAAAAAAGGCAGAGCGAAAAGAATGGACCGATTCATCTCTGATTAGGGTTACCATTCACTGCCAGATGCCAACAGATGAGTCAAATTAGGCATCTGCTGACAACAGTGTGATGATTTCTGGGACAGAAATGCAGGATGCAGTCAGACGGACGGGAGTCTATAATTTAGGGCTAATAACATCAATTATTAGCAAGTATGTGTTGGAATGTAGCATACGACATATGCTGTGTCTCAATTCAGGGTTGCAGCCCACGCAGGGGGCAYTTGTCGGATGCTTGCATCAMCGTGCTGTAAGATAATTTAGTGTTKGTTAACTGAAATCGTGACAAAACCACATAAATATTGAATAGAWTAAAAAGTGAAGAAAATTGAACCATACAACCCCAGATCTGGTTCTGAGCAAAGCTTYATTGCTCATGGCTGGAGTAAGCAAATCAGCGCTGCTCGAAACCGTAAGTTCCGGTCTTTAAATACAGGGATCTTCAGTGCCTGGTRCGCCCACTACAGGCCTACGGCTGAATCGCAGACGCTCGTATAGAAAATATCTGTCCTAATGAGTTTATAACGGTTTATCTATGTGTTGTCATGATGTCTTGGACATGTAATTACAACTATTTTAATCAAGACATAACAATAGTCAAACAATAGATCACAAGAATCAATACTTAAAAAGGAAAACTATGAATATGGTGTGGTGCTTCACGCAACCCTGAAAAAGGAAGAAGCATGTACAGAAAATGGATGGATGGATGGATGGATGGGTGTGGTGCTTCTAAAATCAGTTTCTAAATGACTAAATAAATTTCTGCAAACTCCCCCTGTTCACAGGACAATTACTCATGTGAACAGTGCCGTAGGCTGTCCCAATTCATAGTACTACTGAAGCAGCCAACAAAACCCCAAAAACTTAGACTGCTTCTGAGTATCCTATGTGGCCGAAAATATCCCAGGATTCATTACACCGTCAACAAACATATGAAGATGGCGGAGGTTGTTGGGCTTTTTTATTTTTTATTTTTTTTACAACGGATTGGAAATTTATCACAGACTGAAGATTTTGTTTTTAAATGTATGTTTAGCAACTTAGCYGATAAAATTTTTGCTGCAATAAAATGTTAAATAAAATGCAGATGAAAGTACTGACACTGGAGCTGAACCCAGAAAATTAATGTTTTTTTTATTTATTAATGTGTAATATTTTTAAATAATACTGATTTTTTTTTTACCATGAAAAAGACAACTGAAGCCATGTGATATAAAACATATTACAGTGGTAATAGGGCAGCGCATGGTCACACAAACATATATAATACGTAGACTAGACCGTCTGATTTCCCAACAGTTTATGCAGCTTAAGACTAGCAGCCTATGGCCCATGTAGGGTGTGGCCTGAATTATTGAGACACATTCATAAAGTCTCATTTTAAAACTTATTATCTATAATAGTCAATAATAATATTGTAGATGAGATGATAAATTGTGAACACTTATAGACGTGCAATAAAAATGAATAAAACTGGAACAACATACGTGCAWACTCAACAAACTCGAACAAAATGTTTTTGCTTTATCCTGTAGGGTCATGTGGGAGTTGACACCAACTGACACTGGTGGGAGGTGGTGGGATACATCCTGGACAGGACGGGTCCATTCGGGAGCTTACACAAACATGCACATCCACACTTGTGTTTGCTGCCAGTTTAGAATCAGTAATTACCTTGCACGCCTGCTCTGGGACTATGGGAGGAAACTGGAGCACTTGGAGAAGCCCCGTGCAACAACGTGAAGAACAAACAAACTCCACAAGCAAAACAGCAGGTTTTTCAACTCGGAACCTTCCTGCTGATGCAAAGCTGCTGAGAGCTGCMGAATATTTTCTAAACTCCTGAAAGGAGTTATTCAAAAATAAGAAATCTATACGAGGTTTTATTTCACATGTTTTAAGACAGTTGAGTCCCACTGGATGTTGTGTAACTCAGACTCAGWGCAGTTATCTACACACTACAGGGGAGGGGTAAGAGGGGTCAAGGCATGCATTTTTTTTTTTGTGAGAACGCCTCAGTTTGAGTCCTGACAGAGACCCTTTTCCCGTCGGCACTGACTGACGATGGGGTCACTGTCCAGATCCGAAAACCCGACAACCAAAGCTGCTCAGAAGTGTGCAGAGTGAACAGCTGTAATTGCATACCTTTAGGGGTTACGAATTTCATGGCAATGAAGCTAACTGTCACGCGCTGCTGTTTTGTTTGCCTCATGATTTCTAAGGCTGTAACTGCCAACGAGCATCAGACCCGTTGGTCTGCCTTGACGGGTTCTACCTCTCTTCTGTTTGCTGCCCAAATGGATAAACACTTAATCACACAACCCTGATGCTCCCTTCCCTACGTTTGTCACGACAACATGAAACGCTTCAGAACACTGCATATGTCCTCCCAGCCAATAAACTTCCTGTCATCTGTTCAGAGGCTAGAATTTTTTGTGACTTAAAAAAAATCAGAACTTTTCTTTAAAAGTCTGATCGAACATCAAAACTCAAACATGTTTGGTGTTTTTTTTTATCACAAATGTTTATATTTTGAGGACATTTCTGTCCTTTATGTAAAACACTTGGTGACAGGGTAAGAGCCTTTAATTTAGCCAATAAAGTCCTCAATACAGAGGGGTTTTGACTGGAATATTGTGTATTTTGTATTTAATTTAATGAATCCAAAAATAGAACAACACATTAAAAACAAGATTAATAAGCTAATAAATAGAGATAGTGTTTGAATTGAGGACATAAAGAGAACATTCTAATGTTGTCACTAAAAGTTTAATATTTAAACATCATTTTTGGAAACTGGAGTCTTCTACCTTAAATTAAAACCAAGCAGATTAAGTTTGAACTGAATCCGAGTGAATATCTGAGATTTATTCTCCTCTGTTACTCATAAACTGAACTTCTTAAAGCTGCTAACTTTGGGAATTTAAAGTTTCAGCATTTAAAAAAAATACTTGTTGTAGTAGCAGTATTATTTGGTATCTTCAGGTGATACTAACTTGTTCTCTCATCGCATCATTACACTTTGTCTCTCCTCAGTTTTTTCTGACATCACAGTAAAAAAACCAGAGTTTCAGCTGTTTGAGTGTCATGGATCAGTCCCACCCTGCGAGGACAGGCTGAGGAGCTCGTGAACCGGGTGGGGTGGGGGGGTGAGGGGTGAGGGGGTAATTTTCGGCACGAGAACACAAGCACGAGGCCTGGATTTTTACCCCAGTTCCCACGTTCTTCTCCCGGGAGCTCTGGGAGGGTTGCCATGGGAACAGATGAATTCTCGGGACGAGTCTGCTGCTGCCAGATKAGCCCCCACTCCCCCCACCCTCCCTCCACCCCTCTCCTGCTCTGCCCTCCCCACGTGAGGAGGCGCTTTCCTGCCTTTTGAACACTTTCCACGGAACTTCTGGAAAAGTGCTTTGCAGCTTCAGTAACATTTGCGCAAATACATCCCCTCCTGGTGGGCTTTTTCCCCCACGCTTATGTGGGGACAACAACTTCGTTACTAACACACTGACACATGAGCAACAAACAGTACGATTTTTAAAGCATTAGGCTAGTTGTTAAATAACTAAGAGTGCAGATATTAGGTTGCACTTTGTGCGTAAAGTTGGATCAGAGCCATTATAGCTTCAATCTTACCAACACAGAGACATATTACATCCAAACCGACAAGCATCCTCCTCTTGGTGCAAAACGAGCCCCCTTCCTCAGTCCGGGGCAGAAACTGTGCCCCCGCTCCGTTCTCCTTCCCTTCCCCGGACCCTCCGCTGTCCGCCAGCCGCAGCTGCAGCTCCGCGTCCCGGGGCAGCGTGTTACAGTGCGTCCCGCTCGAATTCAACTTCTGCATGTCTTTATCTTCTCAAAAGCAAACAGTTAAAAGCAACTGGAACAGCAGCAAGTCCCTTCTGTTGCCGCCAGTCGGTGAATCAGTGATTTAAAAAACAAATGATTAGRAAAAGAAAGTTTCTAGTGCGTCCGTCGGTGCAAATAATCCATGTCAAGTGAAGTTTGACAGCAGCAGAACCTGCTCAGACCGATCGGCCGCTTTCACTTGAGTTTATCATCAATAAAGAGGACAGCAGGGAGGGGAGAAGACAGGGAAAAAAAACTACTTAACTAAAAGAAGCTCAAGTAATTTCTGAGAGGGCGCATGTTGTCCTTCCAGCTCTCTCTGTGTCCTCTGAACAGATATTTACACCTATGAGACAAAAACGAACCACACTGAACTTTAGGCTTTCCCAGTAAAGTGCTTTGCTTTTGCAAGCTCCTCCCAACGGATGAAGTGGAACATTTATTTTGTTTAAAAAAGGCACCATTTCCGGTATAGCTTCCTGCCGCTAACTTTACGCACGAGAAGCTGAAAGCTGAAACGCACATGGGTGTGTGTGTGTGTGTGTG